TATATGTATGGGTGTTTTGCCGGTTTTACCAGTGTCTTAGGGTTTCTATTGCTGTGAAAAGGCACCATGACCACAGCAACTCTTTTTTTTCAAAGTGATTTTATTGCTTGTGTACACAAGAGAATTTATGCCACCAGAGCAGAGGCTGTGAATGACTCATATTTCCAATTGGGTGGGAGGACCCCCTTAGTCTGCTCTCTATCAGAATCAGGTGGAACTTAGCATCCTTATCCTTTCTGTTCCTCTCAAGATGCTTTTGGACAGCAACAGCTTTCTTAATCAAATGGTAGAGATCCTCAGGGAGATCAGGGGCAAGGCCTTTGGACTTAAGGATTCTCAAGATTTTATTACCAGTCACAAAACAGACCTGTGCCACACCATGTGAGTCCCTCAGGATCACACCTATTTGGGAGGGAGTCAGGCCTTTCTTGGCCAGTTTGTAAATCTGTTCTGTCATGTCGTCAGACGTCAGCTTCAGCCACGTGGGGACGCAGGTAGTGCCAACGGGACAGGCCTTTCCTGGGAGCCTGCATGCAACCCATGATGGCAGAGGTCTGGCAGCAAAGATTGACCACAGCAACTCTTATAAAGAAAACATTTAATTGAATGTCTGGTGCCCAGAGACCAGAAGAAGGAGCTGGATCCCCTGAAACAGATGTTACAGATGGTTGTAAGCTGCCATGCACATGCTGGGAATTGAACTCCAGCCCTTTGGAATAGGGGCCAGCGCTCTTAACCACTGAGCTGTTTCTTCAGCCCCTGGTTTAATATTTTAAAAAGAATTGCATTTGAGGGCTGGGGAGATTACTCAGTTGTTAAAGTGCTTGCTGTGCAACCATGGGGACTGTGTTTGATTTTTAGAACCCACGTAGAAAAGCAGGGTTTGGTGGTGTGAGCTGGTAATCCACTGGGGAGACAAGAGACAAGTGAGTTGCTGGGGCTCACTGGCTGCCCAGCCTAGATGAATTGGTGAACTCTAGGTTCAGTGGGTGAAGTGCCTACCATATAAGCTTAAGGACCTGATTCCTCATCCACAAAAAGCCAGATCTGAGCATCTATAATCCCAGGTTCATGTCACAATGGGAGCCAGAAGCTTGTGGACAGACAGCACGGGACCGTGTCTCAAACAAGGTGAAGGTGAGAACCAATACCTGAGATTGCTACCCCCCTCACCGGAAAAAAAAAAAGATGATTTAAGTCATACATTGAGGCCCATTGTTCTGCCCTTAGAGGCTCAGGGATGGAGGCCTCCATCTAGTTCCCCATCAGCCTCCTCTACAGACCACGGATGTTAGTTATCAGAAAGCTGTCTTGCTCCTAGCTTTGGTTTGAGTAATTTTGTTTTCTGAGAGGCCCAGGCCTCTGCCTTCCCAAGCAGACAGGCAGGTGTGACCCAGAAGTCACAGATCATCTAGGGCATCAAGATGATCTGTCTTCAGTGCCTTCCAACTCCCCCTTCTTCAGATTTTCTTGCCATGGTTCTGTTTTGCAACCATGCTACCTGGCTCCAGGACCTTGGCTGAGAACTCTTCCAAGTGCTGGGCCAGGAGCCAGGAACCAGGAACCAGGAACCAGGAACCAGGAAGGAACTCTGAGAAACTGGGAAGCCCTGATTGCAATCCTACTCCCACAGTCAGTGGAGGATAATCAGATTGCAATTCCTAGAACTTTGGTCCCAGTGACAAGGCTCTCCTCTCAGAGGGCCTACCTAAGTCTCCTTGCTCTGGACTCTTCTGCAGCAACCTCCAAGATAGTGCCTCTGAAGGGCTCTCCACCCAGAATAGCACTGACCTGTGTAATCAACAGACCGTAGTAACACCAAATGGTAGTCCATCTTCCAGATCCAGTACTCCAGTCTGTGGCCTCTGAGAGCCACCACCATATCCCTAGGACACTCAGCTAACGGGGCAGAGGTTTCCCACCCATAACCACACCAATGTGCCAAACATGAGCTGCCTTTGAAGCAGGTTCCCTGGACCTTTTGTGGTTTCAGATGAGATGGCACCCTCCAAGGGCCATCTTCCATAACCTCACAAGGCATCTTAGGCTTTGAGCACACTGCTCAGTACTTCTGGACTCCCCCGCTCAGAAATGGTGTGATGCATGGCAAGGTTATCGTTGGTGTTTGGATTGCTACATTGGAGGGTGATTCAAAGGCAGAGGGAAGGAAGAGATAACCTGTTCTAGCAATGGCTTTGTGACTCACGACCAATGTCTGGAGAGTTCCATTGAAAAGCCTTCCATTGGTCCCCATCTGTTTCCATGCCTTGGTTTCTGGGTATCTAGCAATGGTGTCTACCCAGCCAACAGGTTCTGGCTGTGTGTCTGTGGCCTTTCTCAACCAGAACCTTGGATAGGATCCACTGCAGGCATTGCCACATTGTAAGAAATAATGGTGTTTTCTAAAGTGCCTTGAGCCACCTCAGGTCCAGTTAAAAATGAATAAAATCTCTGGACCCTGAAGCTAGTCCATTGTGGGCCTTTGTGTCCATGTCCTGACTTACCAAGGCAATGGCAAAGGGCCTCTGAGAAAGCTCAGTTTCAAGTCCCAGTTCTCATCATTTTTGTTTTGTTATTTTGTGAGACAGGATATCACATAGCCCAGGCTTGCTATGTAGCTCCTTCCTCCACTATCCAAGTGCTGGAATGAAGGTACAAGTACTCAGCACCATGCTGGTTTATGTGGTTCTGGTGGTGGAACCCAGGGCCTTAGCATGCTAGGCAAGCATTCTAAGCTATACTGCCTGGCTACACTCTTCTGGAATGCTGTGTGTGGCGCCAACTCTGTATTGTGGTTCCAGACAAGGTACATTCCCACATGGCAAATGTACCAGGTTCTTTCTCTGACATCGCCTTGGACCTTCCCAAAGCCCTGGATTCCTCCTTCCCCTGTAAGTGGAGTATCCCTTTTCATCTCCCATCACGCCCTAGGTCACCAACCTAGGGCCCAGGGCTGAGGGCAGTGCCTCTACAGGTCTCTCTGTCTGACTTTTGGATCCTTGCCATTCCAGATGGAGACCTTGGTTTATTTACCCAGAGGTCCTATAGCAGGACAGATAATTAAGAGGTCACACAACCCCAAATAAGAATGAACTCAGGGACAGTGAGAAACAGGTGCAAAATCTAGAAGCTTCTCTCATAAGGTCATTTCAAGCAGGGACTGAAATGTCCCTGACTGGGTGAGGCCCTGAAGTCACAGCTGTGTCACAATGTCCAAATGCCCCAGCAACAGGGGAAGGCCTTCAACACCCAGGGACCCTGTCTTTGCAGGGGGTAGGGCAGGGTGGGAGGAAGGTCTGTGGTCTCCCTCAGAGACAGCAGTGAGTTCCATTTTCCATTAACTTCATTTTTTGGTTCAAGAGGCGGGAGAGGCTCTCCCTGATGTACCTCATGGATTGTACCTCATGGATTGTCACTCTGTGTTGGGCTCTTGGGTTTGGCTTGGATGTCTCTGCTGCTTAAGTGTCCTGGGATCTTCTTTCTTTTTATTAGGAAAGGGGCATGTTCCCAAGCAAGATCAGCCGATCCTGAACAAACACACTTGGGATCGGCCACACATGCCCAGGCTGTCACCAGGGAGCCCACAGACCTTGAGAAGACCCTAGCCTCCTGCCCGGCTGTTTCCAGAACCCTGAACCAGGTCTGACAGGTTTCTGGTTTTTTTATAAGCAAAAATTAATGGTTTTGTGCTGTCTGCTTGGAGAGAGAAAGATTTCTTTCTAAGTAGAAATGGAACCAGATCATCTCTGTGACTTTGTTTACTCTTGGCCAGAAACAGGAGTTGCCTGTTTTGGGTATTTATTTATTTATTGGTTTTGTTTTGTTTTTGTTTGTTTGTTTGTTAGTTTTTAAGATAGGGTCTCTCTATGTAGGCCTGGATGGCCTGGAACTCACTATGTGTATGTGCATCTGTATGAATATATGTGTAACACATGCATGGAGATACCCGTGAAGGCCAGAAGAGGGCACCAGACCCCTGCGAGTGATTGTGAGCTGTCAGTGTGGGTGCCTGGGGCCTCTTAATTGCTGAGAAATCTCTTCAGTCCTAGGAGGGGATATTTTAGAATCAGTCGTGCTATGAAACTACAGAAACAATACACCCAAGGCTCTGGAATTTTCCCAGGAGTCTCATACTAGGGAAGGAAAAGGCTGAAGCCTGGTGCCAGTCAGAGGGGGAGCTTGTCTCCCAGAGAGATCTCACAGAGTTCTGAGAACTTGTCAGACTACCTTGCAAGAGAGACTGGAGCTAACAGTGATGGGTCAGTGACGGGCTCGCTTAGGAATGCACCCATCCTGTTCTCTGAGGTTTAAGCCTGAACCTCATGTCTAGGTCTCAGAAGAGGGACTTGGGGGCATTTCTCTCCCAATATGGCCACATTGAATAAATCTTTCCCTGCTTTTCATAATGATGTACTGGAGACAAGTGGCTCAGCCTGGCTTATTTATTGAGACTGCCAGGGCCCAGGCTTTTGCCATCAAATCTGTTAACATCCACCGTGCTTCCTGAGTTCGGAGCCTGCCTGGCTCTGCAGCCCAGCAGCAACTCCTGTGGTGTTCTTCCATGGTGGAAGGAAGCCAGTTGCCCCATCCCCACCCACATGCACGATGCTCTGTTTAGGGAGACCTGGCCTTGTCTAGACCACAGGGTCTGTCCAAGCTTGTCCACAACAGAGGTTTCAGAGACAACGTTTCTTTAATGTTGAAACTAGGACAAAGCAGGCAGACTCACCCAGAGGCTCACACTCAGTCAGGAGCTTCCTGTAAATGTTTTGTTTTGGAGGGAGCATCTGAAGTAGGCCCCAGGCTGCTGGTCTGCGGATGACTGGGTGCACACAGCTGTTTAAAGCTCTCCATGGCCACAGCACCTGCAGAGTGACTCCTGCTCAGGCCGACCCTGCTCTAGGTACACAGAGCCCATATCTTGCTGTTGACACAGTACCTGCTAGGACAAGGGATGATGTGGTCTCTCCCTGCAGGCGTGTCCAGATCACCACAGCACGATGGACCGCACACCCCTCATCTGTGACTATGGTTCTGGCTTCAGCAAGGTGGGCTTTGCAGGAACTGAGACCCCTCTGGCTGTCTTCCCCACCGTCATTGGGAAACTGAAACATAATGTGAGTGATGCCCTGGCTTCATCCTCCAATCTCTTGTGCTGCTCTGGTTACTGTGACTGTCATAGCTCCCAATACCCTGACTTCCATACCGACTGCTCTCTGTTAGATGTCTCAAGAAGGTGGCCTTAGGGACAGACTAGGGGACATAAGCCAGCAGCTCCCATTCTGGTTGCAGGCATTTCCATACCCTTCACAATGGGCAACTGCCTCTGGATGCAGCTTTTCTTTGCATCTAGTACCTCTAGTCCCAACTGGAGCTACTGGCAGCCTTTTCCTCCCACTTCAGGAACCCCTCCTCTGAAGGTGATTGGCAGCACCCCTCCCCACAGGTAGTAGCTCCCTCCTCTGTCATCCTGATAGCCACCAGCTTCCTCTAAAGTTCAGTGTTTCTTTCTCTGTAGCATAGGAACGGAATGTGGGCTGTACCTGAAGTCATCCCATGGGGGAGGGCGGAAAGGAAGCACACTAACTGTGCAGTTGAGCCTCTCATCTGTGGGTGTGTCCTGAGAACCTTAGTGGATGCCTGGGACTCAGGAGAGTCCTGAGTCTTCATCTTCATACTCAGACTTCTTACTCAGACCTATGTAGCATGTGAGTTATAAACCGAGTACCCGTGTACAGTAAGAGAGAGGTGCTGCAGTGTTGGTTCTGTGAGTATGGTAGAGATAGTCATGGCAGATGATGTTTGCAGAATATGGGTTCATTGAACCCCTAAATGTGGAACCATGGCCAAGGGGGCACCACATGGCACACACAAAGAACACGTGGCCAGTGGTGCTCATGGATCAGTTATGGGGATGAAGCAGAGGGTGATAGCATGGGAAAAGTCCAACTCTCCATGAAGGCTATAAGCAGCTCTACTGGGCCTGTCTCCTCCCTCTTTTTGCCTGCCATTATCCATATTCCCCAGCTCTAGGGAGCAGGAGTGGCTCCCATGTTCAGTAGAGTTCTTTTCCTTCCTTTCCTTTCCCAGGCATGATACTCAGCTGTCCTCTTGGCTCCATGACCCTGATCTCTACCCAGGCCTGGTGACTGGCAGTGTGAAGGCAGTGAGATTGGTCTCTGGTGAGAGGCCTGGAGGGGACAAAGAGGCTAAACAAGGACAAATTTATTCTTTCCATGGCAGTCCTAGCCCACAGGCTACCCGGGGACAGGAACCAGACTCAGCCCTGTCCACTTCCTTGCAGTAAATGGTGGCTTCAAAGCTGTGTAATCAGACCCGGTCCCCATACTCACACCACCACATTCTGAAAAGCATCAGAGGAGGCACAGCATTGGCAAGGCCATGTCCTGCTGGTCTTTCAGTCTGGGGGCCCTCACTCCACATGCTTCCAGCAGTGCATGGGGTTCACTGAGCACAGAGGGAATTGTTTCCACTTGACAGAAAAGGGGGTGGGACTTTCGAGAGGGATCTTAGCTCAGACAAAGGCCAAAGCTGTGGAAAGGACAAGATAGCTGAAGACACCAAGCTCTGTGCAGCTGGGCTGTGGCTGCCTTGCACACAGGCCTGGCTCAAAAAACCTACTGTTCTGCTGCAGCATGGCACTACGATAGCCCTGCAGCATCACTGTGATGCTCCACTGCAGCAAGGTACCACTGTGCCATTCTTTGTATGCCATGCACCACCATAGCACTGCAACACTGCAGCATGGCATTGCCACACAGCTGCATGGCTGCACCATGGCACTATGCACCCATGCAACTCTACAACATCGCGGTGCTGCTCCACTGCAGCAAGGTACCATTGCACTATGTACCATGCACCACTGTAGTACTGCAGCATAGTGCCACCACACAGCTACATGACAACAGGTGGTACCATGCACCCATGCAGCATCTCAGCATTGCAACATTGCCCAACTCTATGACTATCCTGTCACACTTGTACCATATCCCCCAACTCCCCTTGTCCCTCTTCCCTTTTGCATACTGCACCAGGCACATTGCTCCCATCTAGCTTAAGCATGAGCTTATCCCGGAGACCCTGGACTCCTCTGAGTGGTTGGGGCTCAGGGATTCCTCCATGACCTCGCTGAGCCAGCCTTCCATGTATACTGAAACACCCACCTTCCCTGTTTCCTTCTTTCCTGTGTTCAGGCTCAGACATGGGCATAGCTTGATGGCTCTTCAGTCTTTGCCCTTGTTGGGCTCCCTGTCCTTTCTCATCTAACCAGGCAAGTTCCCTACTAAATCTTCATATCTCTAATCCTGATGTCTATTTCTTAGTGGACTGACATAGATGCCCAGGTCCCTCTGACAGCATGGGAAGTTCAGTCCACTTTGAGAGTAGGCCATCTTCCTGAAACCCAGGAGCCAGCTCATTCTACAGGCCCCATTCCAGCAAGCCTTCCAGAGTAAGTGTGAAGGATATGCCCCCATGCCTTCCCTCCAACTGTTTTTCTCTGATGGCCTCAGTTTCCACACCTGCAGTGTGAGTGTCCTCACTGTGACCCCCAGCAGCCCTGGACCTTGCGGGCAATGGCCCTCTTTGCTAGTAACCACTGCTGGAAGTGTGCATGCTTGGAGAGCTTCCTTGATGTCTGGGCTAGTGATTGGTGACAGCTTCCAGCAGCCTCAAGACACTGGCTCACGTCCCCAGATGAGAGCCAGGTACAGTGGGCCCAGCCCAAGCCTGCTATTCTCAAGGACTGTCCTGTCCTGCCCGTGTTTTCCAGAACCTGCTGGTGGGGGTGGAAGAACAAGAATGTTTCATTGGAGATGAGGTGCAGAATAATCTAGAACGACTGAACTTAGACTATCCTATCACCCAGGGAACCATCACCAACTGGGACAATATGGAGAAGGTGAGCTACAGCCTCTGGGGGAGGAGCCCCATTGCACCCAGACACTGCCTTAGCACTGAGGGAAGGATCTGCTGTTGGGGCCTAGTTCTGTTGAGTCTCTCCATAGGCACAGCTTCGGGGGTCCTAGTCAGGAGACTTCTTCCAGTCCTGCCTCCTCTGCTTACTGGCTATGCCACAAGAACCTATGGCATGGCCTTTGGGAGCCTCAGATCCCTTGTCTATAAGATGATATGATCATTCCTATGCTGTCATGGTTGGTAGGGAATGATGGCTAAGAAGCACTTAGCCTCAGAGGGAGTTAACACACAATGAATAGCCTGCACTAGAGGGCGTGTTGCTTATGATCTGAGCACTTTAATGAAATCCCACAGCAAGGCAGCAGAAGTCTCAGACATCTGTTGTCTCACAACCCTCAAGGTCAAGGTGTTGGAATGGGACTGCTACTGAGGGCTGTGAGGGAGATCCTGCCTCAGGCTGCTCCCTGGTTTCTGGAAGGCTTGGGAGCTTTATGTTTGGGGGCTCTCATCTCCACAGGGTATCCTCCTGTATGTGTTCGGTTCAGAATTCCCCATGTTGTTAGTGTAGCACCTGAATTAAACCAGGGACACACCATTCCATTATCAGCTCCTTTCAGTGTCTCCAGTGACACCCACTGCAGTGTATTCCAGAGAGGTGACACTCTGAGCTCTTGGGGCTTCCACATAGGAGTTGTGGGATCATAACTCAGATAAAGCAATGCACTAACACAGATTAATCAGTCGGTTCCAAATCCAGAGGCTTGAAACAATGATGCCTCCTTCCACCCTCACAGTTTCTTTGGATCAGGAATCTGGGCACAGCTTGGGTCCCGAAGGAGCAGGTGGCACTCTGTGAGGGGGTGAAGTAAAGAAACTACCAAAATGGAATGGAAGCTTTGAAATCTATAACAAGGATTTGTGAGTAAGGGCTGAGGGGGCCTGGAAGCCAGCAGGGACTTTGATAAGCTACCGTAAGTACATGTCAATGGAGAGCCCATGTCCCTTCTACCAGAGGCGAGGGAAATGACTCCTTTTGACAGATGGGAACCAGTTTCACAAAGTTCCTGAGTTTTTAATCTAATAGCCAGAAATCCTTCTATAGTCTAGCTTGAACTCATTTATAGACATATGGAAGGCCTAAGAACTAATAAACACTAGAAAGGGCCATGCCACCACCAGCAGCAGGGCATGTCCCTCGTGTCCATCATACAATACCTCCTGGGCTGTCTGAAGGTACATGAAGCCATATCATGGTAGCTGAGTCTACCAGGGCAGGAGAAGCACACAGCATGGTGGACAGCTCTTGATTCAGACTTTTGTCACCAGCCCACTCTGTGGTTTTTTTTTTTGGTGGCTCAAGCTGCCTGCCTAATCCTTTGTGGCACTGTTCCTGGCTCTTCCTGAGCCTCTAGATGTTGGTTTCAAACATCCACCCACAGACCAGCATCTCTGAGGATCCATCCTGTCCACCATCTTGTCCCTCACTCTTCCCCACCACAGCACCTTATGTCACTCTCCTGTTCCAGGCTGTTAGTGGCTGGGTATCAAAGAATAAGCCTGCCTGGCTTCTGTGGCTTCACAGACATCATCTGCTTCCTGGGTCCTCCATTCTCCTTTGACCATGGAGCTGTCCCTAGGAGCTGTCCCTAGTTGCTCTCCCAGAGTGCTGTGTAGCCTCCCCTTGACATGGAAGGCAAGGACTTCACACAGGATAACTAGGACTGTTTGTTATGAACCTACTGTGTACTGCTGTAGTAGGTGTCCACAGTATGTCCCCAAAGTATTTTTCTTTGGGTTTTTCAAGACAGGGTTTCATGGTGTAGCCCTGACTCTCCTGGAACTGGCTCTGTAGACTAAGCTGGCATCTAACTCACAGAGATCCACCTGCCTCTGTCTCCTGAGTGCTAGAATTAAAGCCACCACTATCTGGCTGTCCCCAAAGTTTTTATTCTGGAGTCACAAAGCCTATTCTCAGAATGCTTTGGAGACAGGGATTATCTTAGGGTTACCATTGCTGTGATGAAACACCATGACCAAAAGCAAAGTTTGTTTTGCTCAAAGTTCCGTATAACAATTCATTATCAAAAGGAGTAAGGGCAGGAATTCATATAAGGCAGGGACCTGGATACAGGAGCTGATGCAGAGGCCATGGAAGGGTGCTTTCTGGCATGCTCCTCATGGTTTGCTCAGCCTGCTTTCTTATAGAACCCAGGACTACCAGCCTAGGGGTGGCCCCACCCACAATGGACCAGTCCCTCCCACATCAATCACTAATTAAGAAAATGCCCTACAGCAGGACCTTTGTTTGTTTGTTTGTTTGTTTTTGAGACAGGGTTTCTCTGTGTAACAGTCCTGGTTGTCCTGGAAACTGTTCTGTAGACTAGACTAGCCTTTAATTTACAGAGATCCTCCTGCCTCTGCTTCCTAAATGCTGGGATTAAAGGCTTGTGCCACCAACACCCAGCTATAGCTGGATCTTTTTCTCAATTGATTATCAATTGAGGTTCTCTCCTCTAATGACTCTAGCTTTGTGTTGACAAAAAAAGCTAGTATTGGGCTTAAAAATGTCAACATTTATGTTTTATGTATATGACTGTTTTGTCTGCATGCCTGTATATGCACCACATGCATGCCTGGTTGCTGTGGAGGTCAGAAGAGGTTATCAAAACTCTGGAAATGGAGTTACATATTGTTGTGAGCCACCAAGTGGCTACTGGGAATTGAATTCAGGTCCTCTGCAAGAGCAGACAGTGCTCTTAACCATGAGTCATCCAGTCCAAGACAGGGCCCTCACAGAGACCATTAAAGCTAGGCTGTGTGGAGGTACTCATCTACCATCTCAGCTCCAGGGTGAGAGAAGCAGGAGAGTCAGGAGTTCAAGGCATGGCCACGTGAGAAGATGGAGAAGACAATATCAACAAGCCAAAAAGGCAAGCCTCCAGAGCTGCCAGCAATAATACAACCATCTTAGATCTCCAGTCTAGGTGTGAATGCTGACCCCCTCTCAAGGACAAACATAAGTTCATCATGGGAAACCAGTGAGTTTACTGGCTTGACTTATACAACATAGGGGAAGAATTACTAAAAGGAGCACAGGGGACCCAAAAACAGCCACACAGAATGTCTTCAGTCAACATGGATAATGGCTTCCTCAGTATATTAGTCAGGGTTCTCTAGAGTAACAACTCTAGAGTAATCTAGAGATTTAGAATTAAATCTCTCTGTATACAGAAAGGGGATTTGTTAGAATGACTTACAGGTTGTGGTCCAACTAATCCAATATGGCTGCCTTGAACAGAAGGTCCAAGAATCCGGTAGTTGTTCAGTTCCTGAGGTTGGATGTCTCAGCTGGTCTTTAGCAGTATATGCTGGAATCCTCAAGTAGGCTCTAATGCCAGTGAAGGAATGGACTGCCAGTGAGAGCAAGAGCAAGAGTAAGCAAGCAAGAACAAAAGCTTCAGTTGCAGGGTATTTGATCACTGTGAAGATGTGTTGCTGTTTTACCTCACCTGCCTAGGCACCTTCTGATTGGTCTAACAAAGAGCTGAATGGTCAATAGCTAGGCAGGAAGAGGATATGCAGGTCTTCAGGGCAGAGATAGGAACTCTGGGTTAGAATCTAGCATGGGGGATTCACCAGCAAGACACAAGGAAGTGGGTCATACCAAGGAGAGGTAATGAGCCACATGGCAGAATGTAGATTAATATAAATGGGTCAATTTAAGTTATAAGAGCTAATTGGGAACAAGCCTAAGCTAAGGCTAAGCTTTCACAATTAATAAAAAGTCTCTGTGTCATTATCTGGGAGCTGGAAGTCCAAAGAAAATCTGACTATAAGCTTCCTTCTTCCATGTCCTTTATATAGGCTGCCAGCAGAAGGTGTGGCCCAGATTAGAGATGGGTCTTCCCACCTCTAAAGATATGGAACAGAAGTGGATCTTCCCACTTCAAATGATCTAACTAAGCAAAAATCCCTTACAGTAGTGCCAGCCATTTTTGGGGTTTTAGTTAATTCCAGATATAGTCAGATAGACAACCAAGAATAACCATTACCGCCATGGTTGAGTGGATGGAGCTGTTCTCTATCCATCCTAGCCTATATCCTTTAGCTTCTCCAGAAACACCACATGCAGTTAGGGCAGACTGTTATTTAAGTCGCTGGGATGAGTGGCTAGATATTCAAGTGAGGATATAATGACCTTGCCCATCCTCTCTGGAGGAATGTCAGCAGTGCACAGGCTGGTCCTGATGGACTTTTACAAGCAGGCACAGCTGATCTAGTGAAGATGATGGCAGTTTGGTTCAGAGGACAGAACCTTACAACAGGAAGTGAACAGCCAGCCTGTCTGACAACGCTGTCATCTGAGGCCCGCACTTCCTGAGGTGATGGACAGTCTCTTCCATTTTAAAGATGAGGATGGAGGCCAACTAAGGTCACCTTGATGGTCCTGGGCAGGCATATGTTATGTGGCAAACTTCCATTATTGTTGGGCTTTCTCTGTGACACTCAAACCACCTGTGTTTCCACCTCATCCCTGAGTTTTGGTGCGTGTATCTGTCACCCATCAGACCTGAGAGACCCTTAGACAGTGATGGGCCTGCCAACCCCTGCCAGCCCCTGCCAACCCCTGCAAGCTCCATGCCCTTACTTCAGGCTTGGTGTATCATCAGAGGCTGGGCCATGCTGCATCTTGCTTTGATGGTGAGCCAGAGGTGCTGTCTACAATTCAGCCATCTTTGGAATTATAGAGTCTGGTCCAGGGGCAATTTAGACACCCATGTCCTAGATTTCTGTGTACAATGGCAGTACTTGCAAGGTGCCAACCAAGTCCTTTCACATGCCCCATTTCATCTTTAGATGGGCTACAAAACTTCATTGTTACCACACAAATTACTGGGAACCGAATTGCTTAAAAAACAGTGACAAGGAAGTAAGTCTGAATACGTTCACTGCAGGCAAAGCTTTGCTTTTTTTTTTTTTTTTTTTTTTGAGATAGGGCCTCATGTAGCCCAGGCTGGCCTCCAACTTGTTATATAGTTTAAGATGGCCTTGAACTTTTGACTCTCCAGCTTCTACCTCTTGAGTGCTGGGATTTCAGGTGTGCATCACCATGCTTGGTTTATGTAGTGCTGGGGATGGAACTCAGGGCCTTGTTATAGTCGACATCCCCAGTTTTTCCCCAAACACTTTTGATTCTTTGTTGGTTAAATCTTTAGATTTGAAATCTACAGATCTGGAGTTCAACTGTACCAATCTGTCAGATGGATGGAGGGATACATAATAGAGGTGATAGATGGTAGCTAGGTAATAAATGATAGGCATAGATAGAGGGAGGTTAGACCAGTGATTCTCAACACATGGATCGCATTTATTAGATATCCTGCAATCAGATATTTACATTATGATTCTTAATAATGGTAAAATTACAGTTATGATATATCAACAAAGTAATTTTATGGTTGGGTGATCACCACAATATGAGGAGCTATATTAAAGGGTTGAGGTATTAGAAAGGTTGAGAACCACTGTGTTAGATGTGTAGATGATTGATAGGTAGATATATGATAGATGACAGATAGAAGGTAGATTGACAGATTGATTATGGACATAGACACAGGCAAATGCAGAACAGACAGAGAAAACAGACACACAGATACTAGACGATAAACAGGTAGTGAGATGAACAGATAGGTGTTGATGAGTAGTAGTAGATGATATCTAAAGAGACTAGTTGTTAAAGAGAAGACAGAAAGGTGATTTAGGTAGCTAATAGATGTGTATGATATATAGGCCAGTAGATGGGTGATAGACAACATTCAGCATGTCTTTGGACAGCAAACAACTGGCCTACTGTCCTCTCTCTGCAGATTTGGCATCACACCTTCTACAATGTCCTCCACATCGCCCCTGAGCAGCACCCTGTAATGATAACAGAGCCACCATTAAACAGCAAACATGTTAAATCAAGAACCACTCAGGTAAATGGGGCCTGGGGCCAGGTGAGGCAGGAAGGGAGGCTGCTGTTCTGTCCTTACTTAAGAGTTCCCTGCCTCTGGCGTCATGCTGGTCCTTCCTACCATGATGGAGTTGGTGGGGGACTGATGGAGTTCAAGGGTAGATCCCTGTCTTTGAGTGCTCCAATCAGAGCACAGATGGCAGAGTCCTCCTTAGGCTGCAATGGGGCTAGATACAGTGGCTGCAAGAAGCTCCCCCCACCCCACCCCCATCAGAGATCTCCTCCTAAGGCTCAGCTTCTCCTATAGAGGACACAGGAAAGCTAATTAAGCAGGTGATCAAGCTGGCTCATCTGGCTAGCATATCTGGAGTTCAGTGGTCAAGGCATGATCTGCATATCTCAGAGACCACCTAGACCTGGAAGCAGCAGTTCTGCCCATCATGGCACAGGTGTGAGTTCTCATCAAACAAACTCCAAACTGGCCACTGACCCCCACCCCAGTGTGGACAGTCAGATCATGGAAATGGCCACAGCTGACTCCCCTGAGGACTGGGTATGGCTGGCTTTACCCCGAAAGCACCCCATGTCCATAAGGGTTTCAGCAAATTAGAGGGGACAAGAGAGGGGTGAGACTGCCCCCAATCCAACTGCCTGTCCACTCCTCAACTGTAGCAGACAACAGAACAGGAACAAGAGGAGCTGTGAAGGCAGAGGCAGAGTAGCTGAGCTCAACCTCTATCAGCTGGAGCTGTGAGTGTGCTCCCGTGGAGCCCAGTAGGATGGAGACACATAGAAATGAAGGTTCAAGTCTAGTCTGATCAGAAAAGTAGATGATTGGCTCCCATGGCTAGGGCTGTTCCCTCCTGTCTTCTCTTCCTCCTTGAACAAACCACCTGCCCTCTGCAGCCCCTGACTCAATATCACTTGTCTAGATAGATACTTACAGGTATAACTCACAGCAAAGTGACTCCTATAAATAATTTCAAGCAGCTCTTTCTGGGGCCGCACCTTCTGCCATGAAGGTGATCAGCGATGATAGTTTGTCCAATTGATGCAAGGTGTCTGTGGAGTGTAAAGATGTTGGTACAAGCCAAGGGCTTGGTCAGACTAGTCATTTGACTGACAGCCAAGCACAAGCAGGAACAGAGTATCCAAGAACCACTAATTAGGGAGTTAGACTGCAGTGCCTAGTGACAAAGCATGCTGACAATATGAACTCATAGACCTTAACACTAACCCTTTCACAATGCTGACACCTGTCCAGTGGTCAGGGAGAGATAGGGCCCCTGGCGGGACTCACCATTATGTCCTGATTCAACCAGCCTTCTTACTATCCATTACAGAAGTACCTAGAAGGAGCTGGGACACTAGTGTCCTAATTAGCATTAACTGTCAACTTGACACAGCCTAGAGCCATCTGAAAAAAGTCTCAATTAATTGCCATTATCAGATTAACCTGTGAACACCTATGTGGGAGATTGTCTTGATTGTTAATTAATGTAAGAGTGCCCAGCATCATTCCTGCAGGTGGTCCTAGATGATATAAGAAAGATTGAGCATAAGCCTTTGAGTGAGCCAGGAAGCATTGTTCCTCCATGGCCCTGCCCTGGCATCATTGACTTACTTCAGTGATGATCCATGACCAGCAAGTAGTCACCAAATAAACCCTTTCCTCCCCTAAGTTGCTTTATGTCAGAGTGTTTTATCACAGATGCAGAATGAACTAGAACAGCCACTTCACAGCAGAGCCAGCTGGAGACAGGTGCTGGACACCCCAGGCTTAGTCCCCCTGGATCCACAGCCTGCTGCAAGAGGCACTCATGAGCACCCAGGAAAGTGTGTGCCACCTGGCTAGCCAGCATGCCAATCTTCCTCACCAGATCCTATTTGAAACCTTCAACGTCCCTGCCATGTACATGGCTAATCAAGGGGTCCTCTCCATGTACGCTTCTGGCAGAACTTCTGGTGAGTGGCCCTGTGGGATCCCCATCCTTCCCAGACACACTATCTAGTTCTCGGGGCTGGGGATACTCACCACAACCCGCAGCCTCTCCCTGACAAATAGAAGCATAGGAAGGGGCTGGCAAGATGGGTCAGTAGGTGACGGTGCCAAGCCTAATGACCCAAGTTCAATCCCCAGGACCCACATGGTGGAAGGAGAGAACTGATTCCTGAGGATTGTCCTCTGACTCCCACATATGTGCAGGCATGTGAGGATACACTACACACACACACACACACACACACACACACACACACACACAGACAGACACGCATGCACACACAGGCAAGTGTTCATTAAAAGAAAGCAAAGGACATTCTTCAAGGCTCACAATGATCCTCACTTCACAATAAGAGCACTAGAGACTCAGAGTAGTGAACAGAGAGGCAGTGTATTTTCTGACCTTGTAGAGTTGGGTGTCAGCCTGAAGAAAATGCAAAATGGCTTGTATGATTTGCTGCAAAACTGGTCTTTTTTTTGTTTTTCAGGAATTATTTTTTAAGTGTGTGTGTGTGTTTGTGTGTGTGTTTCAACCCAAGAGAAACTAAAAATTAGCAGTTGCCAGCAGGGGCCTAAGGCGTCCTTATCTGTGGTCCTCTGGTGAGCTCTGAGCACAGCGCACTCCTGAAAGGGACCGTAATAAATTATTTCTTACACATAGCTGGCTCCTTTCCCTTCTTTTTCTTGGTGACACAGAATGCTCCCAGAATGCAGACTCATTTTTTTTCTTAACCGATTTGCTAAGGTGTTACTGAATGAAATAAACAGCACTTGCGTGTGCTCACAAACCACCACAATCACACCCAAGGATCCCATTGTGCCATCCTGCCCCTCCCACCTGTTGAGACAATGCCTGCATTTTTTTTTTTTTTTGACTTTGTGAATGGAACTGAGCAGCCAGCATGTGACCATCGGTCACTTTTTCACTCTGTTCACTATATGGAGGATCTTTTGTGCTGTCACCGCCATAAACAGCTCACTTCCTCTTGCTGAGTCTTGGTAGCATGGTTACATGTGGGCAATGTGCCAAGTTTTTGTCTACTTATCTGTGGATGGAAGTTTGGGGTGTTTCCAGTCTGGGGGGGTTATAATGGAGGAAGTAGAGGATAGACATGACCAAACTAGCAAGTAAAAGCTGCCCCAGGAAACCTGTCATTTTGTGTCATTATTAAACACTATAAATAATAATAATAATAATAATAATAATAATAATAATAATAATAACATTTTGTAAACTAAAAAAGAGACAAAATTCCTTTTCCTTCCTTGAAATGGCTTTGTGTGCTCTTTGGAAATTACTTTTCCATGTATGCCCCAGCTGACTTCTGAGCTCATGGCGCTGTTCCATCACTTTTTGTCTGATTCTAGGTCAATACCAGATGGCCTTGATGACCATGGCTCATACTGAGTCTTGAAATGAGGTGGTTTGTCCTACCCTCTGGATTTCTTAAGTTTGAGATGTGGGCTCTGCTAAGTCCTTCGAATTCCTCCATGGGTTTTAGAATATGAAAACAATCAAAACCAAAAACTAAACTAACGAAAATCCTCAGCACCACACATCTTTGGATTTTGTTTGGGTCTGTGTTGAAAGCATGGATCAATTTTGAAAGATCCGGAATCTTAAAGGCACCTAGTCTAGAAACCACGGACTGTGGCATGTCTGAGAGCTCTCTAGGTTCCTCTTGGTACTGTGATAAGGACTTGCAGTACCTGTCTGTCTTTCACCTCACAGGTTCTGATGCTGTTGAAAGTAGGTTTATTCATTGTGTTTGAGTGTGAAATATGTCCTGCAGGCTTGAGTTATTGTGGAGCTGTTGGTCATGGGTTCCCAGTGGTGACTGATCCCGAGGGCTCTGATTTTGATGGAGTCACAATTCTACAGTGGTTAGGAGGCAATGGGAACTGAAAGCAGGGTCTGGTTGGAGGGGGTAGTCATGGCAGATGCCCTTACAGGGTCTGTCTGTGCCCTGTCTTTATTTCTCCTGTTTCTTGCCTGCCATTTGTGAGTGCATCTGCTCTAGCCCATGCTCTTGCCACGAGGCTCAGCCTCTCAACACTGGAGCCAGTTGCATAGACCATCAGCCAAAAATTCCCTCTCCTTTTAAATGGTTTCTCTCGAGTAATTGTCACAAGGATGAAAAGACTAACACAGTGTATGTGTGTGCATGCACGTTTCTGTGTACTGTGTGTGCATGCATGTAAGTGTGTGTCTGTGTACTTGGACATGTCATGTGGAGGATAGAGGTTTACATCAAAAGCCTTCCTTAGAACTGTAAGACAGTGTCTTGGCTCACAGAACCTAGACTAGTGCTAACTGAGTGGCTAGGCTGGCTAGCCAGTGCACTCCAGGGACCAACCTGTCTCTATCCCCCAACCCAGCCACCCAGAGCTAGGGTTATAGCCATGTGCCCCCCATCTCCAGCATTTATATGGATGCTGGGGATTTGAACTCAGGTCCTTATGCATGTGCTGCAGACACTGGCCAACTGGGTCATCACTTTGTTTCTGATTGCTCATTGCTATTGCACAGATATCAGTTGGCTTTTGTATCCTAATACTCTAATTAAACTCAGTTTTTTGTAGATTTTGAAGGATTTATTACTTGGCATATATATGTTTTTTTCTAGATAGGGTCTCATGAATAAAGCTGGCTGTCCTGGAACTCACTCTGTAGACCAGGCTGTCCTCAAACTCAGAGATCCATCTGCCTCTGCCTCCTGAGTGCTGGGATTAAAGGTGTGTGCCACCACCACCTGGCAAATATTTATGCTTAAATTTTTAAAATTACATTATTTATTGTGTGTGCCATGGTGTATATGTGGGGGTTGTATTTGATTATCTCTTTATATCATGAAGGTCCCAGGAATTGAACTCAGGTCATTAGGCTTGGTGGCAAGTGCCTTAACCTGCCCAAGCCATCTGGCCAGCCCTGTGGCAAATACATTTTTGACAAATAATATTTACTTTATTATTTCCAAGCCAGATTTTTTTTTAAATTGTTTCATTCTTTTCTACTGACTGCCCGGGCCTCACTGTTCTGAGTGAGGGTGGTGAGGATGCAAATCCTCATCTTTCCCTCAGTTTTAGAGGGCAATCATTCAGCCTTCCACCGTAACAGCTGTGGGTTTCATCTTTTCTTCACTAATTTAAGTAAGTTCTCTTGCATTCTTATTTACTGAGAATTTCTTATTTTAATCAAGACTAGATATTGGATTTTTGTCAAAGTGCAATTTATGCATAGTGATGTTAGATTTGACAACTTGCTACAACTTAGAATCGCCTGGGAAGGGAGTCTCAGTGAGGGATTCTCTTATGTTGGGTTTGCCTGTCTGTGGCGGTTAGCTTAACTAAGTTAATTTGATGTGGGAAGACCCAGCATCATTCCCCAGGCAGGATGTCCTGAACTGTATGAATGGGGAAATGGGGAAATGGACTGGGTACAAGCAAGCAAGGAAGCAAGTGTAGGAGTATTTGCTTCCCTGTTTTTGACTGTGGATTTGATTTGACTAGCTGTTTGAAGCTCCTGCCTTAACTTCCTCATATGGTAGACTATTACCTGGACTTGTAAGCTAAAATAAACCCCCTTTTCTCCTAAGCTTCTTCTGTGGGGGTATTTTATTACAGCAACAGAAATGAAGCTAGAACATGTATCTATTGGTGCAATCATATAAATTAATATTGATTTTGAGCTATGGAACAAAGGCCATTTAATTCTTTTAAAATGCATGTTGTTGAAATCAACTTGTGAAAATTTCACTCTGGAGTTTTGTGTCTGTGGTCATGAGTGACAATGGCCTCCTGTGCTCTTCTCCCATCTCCCAGGGACCATGATGGATAGGTGCATTATGGTCAATGTTTGGGAATAGATTCTGCCATTCTCATCTGTTGTGGGTGAGAGAGGGCCAACTCTTGTCCCCTGTCACAGCTGGAAGGGGAAGTCCCATGGACTCAACTTTGCTTAAATGAAATGTGCATTTCTTGATCCCCAGGCTCAATACAGAAAAGGAGAGAACCCAGAACCACCCAGACCCCAGTCTGCCCCAGAAGCCACTGTGTCAGATACAGTAGGCCCCTTAGCATGATATCTTGAACTCTTTGAACTAGCACTCTTGGGGGCTTTGTGAACTAAAGCACACACCTCTGGCATGGTGTTCAGGCTTTCCCAACACAGGACACCTCCCAGAGAGTCCCAGTGTCCACCCAGGCACAGGCAACACTTGTCTATTGTCTCTTTGCCAGCTACTGGTAAAATTGCATGTTTGGTTTAGCAAGAAAACCTACAGGCTTATATCCAAACCTGGTGGTCAGCCTCCATTCTAGTTCATGTGTTTAGGAAGAAGCCAGCTCCTTGGCCTCTTTCCCTTCCCTTCTGTTATTTCTCCCTCCACCATCCATTCCTACAGAACTAACAATTGCCAAGGGGTGCTGTGTGTGTACCCCACATGGTGACAGAATGTCCTTTTATGTAGGAACAACTATTGAATCTGGAGAAGGGATGACATACATCGTGCCTGTCGTTAATGGCTATCCCCTGCCACTGTCGACCATCAAGCTGGATGTAGCTGGCCAAGACCTGACTGCGTACCTCCTGCAACTGCTGTCAAACAGTGGGAACTTGTTAGTGAGCACAGGTAGGAAGCAACTATTCTCAGATACATAAACCAGTGAAGTGTATAAGGCCCTTCATTTTCAAAGCATGCGTGTATAGTTGTACCCCCCCTCTCTCTCTTTCTCTCTCTCTCTCTCTGTGTGTGTGTGTGTGTGTGTGTGTGTGTGTGTGTGTGTGTGTGTGTGTGTGTATGTGAGTGTGTATTCAGAGGCTGAAGGACAGCCTCAGGTTTCAGCCTTAATAATGCTATCCACCTCTTTTGAAACAGGGTTTGGAGCTCTTCATGAGGGTGTATGTGGTCATTCTATTGCAGAGGAGACTTGACTAGTACCCTATAAGCATCAAGGGCCTGAGTTTTTGATTAAGGACTTAGACAGAATAATGCTTGACCCCATTTGGGCCCTCTTCCTGGCCTAGATTTTTAGTTGATACAGTGTGTATGACACCTGTTCCCAATAGGCCATTGCCCTTTCTGGTCTTAGACAAGGAGTGGAAAGTTGAGCCCTGGAGCCCTAAAGAATCGCATCAATTAGAAGGACAGCAAAAACTGGTCAGGCTAGAGTGCTTGCATGTTCCTGACTGCCCATTCTTAGCAAGATCCATGTGTGCACCATCCGTTTGTCCTCCCCACACACTCCCATACCGATTATACTCATCCTTGTAGATGAAGGAAGTGGAAGTTAAAAAAGGATAGCAACAAGAGAAAAAAAAAGAAAAAACACAAAAAAGACAAAATAAAAGGAATAACTAATTTGCCTAAGTAATAATTAATTAGCTAGCCAAGTAAATGACAGAGGTGGGATGTGACTCAGAATTGCCTCACACAAACCCAAGCCAGGTGAAGGAGGGAAACACTGGGATGCAGCAGAGTCCAGAAGCCAGGGACAGAGAATGGAGCGGCAGACAGCACCATTTGCTGGAGGGAAGGAATAGAGAGGCCTTCAGGCTCTGGAAGGAGGGTGGAGGAGACATGGGCAAGGAGGTTGGCTTAGGCCAGGCGTGGCAGCACACATGTGTAATCACAGTGCTTGAAGGTGGAGGCGGAAGGTTAGGAGCTCAAGGACATCTTCTGCTACAAGTATATTGGCGGCCAGCCTGGGCTACATGAGACCCTGTTTCAGAAGAAGAAGAGGAAGAAGGAAGGGACAGAAAGGAGGAGTGGTCAATTGGAATAAAAGGAAGAGGGAGGAAGGGGGAGGGGAAGAAGAGCAAGAAGAGGAGGGAGGAGAAGAAGGAATGAAAGGGGAAACGAAGTCAGAAGGGAAGGAAGTATTGGAGGAGGAGTTAGAGGAGGAGGAAATGGAGGAGCTGGAGGGAGAAATGGAGGGATTGGAAGAACTGGGGAAGATGGAGGAGGGGTTGGAAGAGGAAGGAGAGCTGGAGGAGGGGCGACAGGAGATGGGGGAGTTGAGGAGGAGATGGGGGGAGGGGCTGGAAGAAAAGGAGATGGTGGAGGGTGATTCTGGTGATTAGCAGCCGGCAGTCTGCAGACTGAAGAGCAGGTGAGGCCTCCCGGTAAGCAGCACAGGGAAGGCCCTTTTAGTCAAAGGTCAAAGAGGACAGCAGATAAAATGTAAAAGCCTAATCAAAAGGCTTATCTGATCTTCAAACCTGCTGTCAGAAACCTAGGAAGGAAAGGGAACTCACAGTTCATGGCCACTTCTCCAGAGGACCAGCTGGCATGGGTGTGTGTGTGTGGGGGCAGACTTTTCTGTCCCACCAGCCTGTTCCCAAATAACCACACGCAGACTTACTATTAATTATAAATGCTCAGCTGATAGCTCAGGCTTGTTACTAACTAGATCTTACATTTTAAATTAACCCATATTTCTTATCCATTCTGTGCCACGTGGTGGTACCTTTTTGTAACATGGCAAGTTAAGTTCATCTTGCTTCTCTTCACAACTCCTCATGACTCCTGAGACTCCCTGCTTCTTCCCCTTTGGACTCTTTTTTTTTTTTTTTTATTTTTGTCTACGAGTCCTGCTTAACCTCTACCTGTTGTCCAGCTATTGGCCAGTCAGCTCTTTTATTAGCTAATGAGAGTAATACCTATTTACAGTACAAAGATTGTTCCACAGTTGGGGGTAAGGGGTGGTTCAGAATGCCCAGATAATAAATGTGAATTGGATTTTGCAGGCCCCACAAACACCACACACAACAGGGTTGCATCTTAGGCAATGCTGAAGATACCCAGGTCTGTGCCTTTTGTGGAGGGAGGTTTCCTTCCTCATGCTCTGCCCTTACAAAGCCTGGCCCATAGCCTGGCCAAGACCATGCTGAAGGGGTTGTATGAACACAGTGGCTGTCTAGGAGTGGGGCCACCTTCCTGTGCCCACTCTCAAGAGTTGCACCCTACATGTCCCTGCTTTTTGGTCTTCCTTGTTCTGCAGCTGACCGAGAGTACGTCCGGAACCTGAAAGAGAAACACAGCTATGTGGCATTGGACTATGATATGGAAATATCAAAAGCTTCAGGATCCTCTATCCAGAAGACATTCCATTTGCCTGATGGCAAAGAGGTCAATCTGGGGCAGGAGGCTTTCATGTGCCTGGAGGCACTCTTCAAGACCAGCCTCGTAGGTGAGTCCAGGGTCAGGGGACAGCAGGTTAATGAACACTCACATAGAGTGCCATGGGAAGAAAGGTGTGGGAAGGATGCTGTCAGGGCATTCTGCTTCAGGAGCAATGCTTCCTGCTCTAAAGTTTTCCTGGTACTGCCTGCCATTCAGCTGCCTCCTACACTCCTGTCACTTGGCTGACCCTTTGACTCCACCTAATCACAAATGAGATGGAGAGCAACAGAGCGCCGCTCTCCTCAGTAGAGTGCTATTTATAACTCTGTCACTGTACAGGATACTTTGAAATGGAACAATGAAGATGGTGGGGGCAGAAGTACAAACTACCAAAGTTTGTCAGTGCTTTAAGCATCTAAATGGCCAGAGGGTTTTGTTTTGTTATATTTATTATTACTGTTATTACTATTATTATTATTATTCAAGAAAGGATTTTGCTGTGTAGCCTTGGCTGTTCTGTAACTCACTCTGTAGACCAGGCTGGCCTCAAACTCACAGAGATCCTCCTGCCTCTGACTCCCGAGTTCTGGGATTAAAGGTGTGTGCCACCACTGCCTGGCTCCAGAGGGTTTCTTTTTTAAATACTTGAGAAGCAGGGTTTTATTAAAAGTAAAAAAACTTCAGCTTTGAGCAACTGTCAACAATGAGAGAACAGTCCAGAGAATAGGATAAAATCTGATAGACAGTTGGTCCAAAAATATGTGTGAGGACCTTAAGATTGAATGATCAGAAAACAAACAATCCGGTTTATAAAATGAACAAACACCAACACTGAAGAAATACAGATGGCAAGCTGGGCATTGTGATAGAGCAGATAGAGGTTATGAGTTCAATTATTTCAACATTTTCAAACAAAATATGGAGGAGGCAAGTATAAAAACAGATGCCCAGAGTACTTCATCGGGGATTAGAGATTGACAAAGTACCAACACAACAGAGATGTTTCCATAGTGTAGAGGCTATCACATCCAGAGGGTTTTTAATGAGTCCTGGGTTGACTATTGGCAAAGCAGCTTAAGAAAAGAATTTTGACTCACAGTTCTCGAAGAAACTGACTCAAAGAAAAGAATTTTGACTCATAGTTTAAGGTTACTGTCTATCATGAGTACAAGGCAGCTGGTCACACTGCATCCATGGGCAGGGAGTAGAAAGGAATGCTGGTGCTCAACTTGCTTTCTCCTTTATATTACACAGGACCCCAGCCTATGGGATGATGCCGCCCACATCAGGGTGGGTCTTCTCTCCCCGGTTAACCCAGTCTAGACACTCCCTCAGGCATGCCCAGATGCTTGTCTCCATGGGGGTATTAGATCCTTTAGGCTGTCAGTATTAACTCTCAGGATCACCTTCTTTCTAGTGGTGCTAGCAATGGGATGCAGAAGCAGGAGGATGGCCGTGAGTTCATAGTCAGCCTGGGTTACACAGTGAGTCATTGTTTCAACATCAGGAGAATGATAGACTATGAAATCCCCATGGGAAGGGGAAATGAGAGCTCAGGGAAGGCATGGAAAGCCAGCATTTCCTAAGATAAAACTTGAAGTAGTCTGCCCACCTCTCCACAGGACATAACTGTGGTCATCAGGGCTTAGCTCTGTCTTTCCTGCTATATAGTGAGAGCATGCAGTCTTTCTCTGCTTTTGCTTTCTGAGTCAGGTTTTTGCTCTGTAGCCCAGGCTAGTCTGGAACTCTATGTAGCCTAGGCTTGTCTTAAAGTTGTGGTGATCCTCCTGCCTCATTTTCTCAAGATGGAGGTTTGTAGGCATGGGAGAGCACACAGTATGAAAGGCATAATACACACCAGTGTGGGAAAGTCATTAAAGTACTCCTCAGAGGTCAGGTGGATCCCAGGGAGGAATGCAGCCTCAGGCTCCTTATGTCAGTAGAGCCCTATTCTAGGCATACCCGGATACCACTCCATTGTATTAGCTCTTCACATCCATCATTCAAGGCTGATGTCAGTTGCTTGCTTATGTAACAAATGAGTGAAGGCAGTTACTTAGGGTTCTTTCCAAGACTGAGTTGGGATATTGCTCTATAGATACCCACAAAACAGTTGATACCAACCTCATCTGAAGCACGGGAGGTCAACTCTTGTCAGTGACGGTGCTGGCAGGCCAGACTTGTGATCTGATTGAGGTTCACAGGCCTTGAGGTTCTTGGTGGCACATCCCTCCCTACAATACTAAAAATGGGAAACTTTGATCCCAAAGCCCTCTTGTACATTGTCTCCCAGGGAAAACCAAGCCTGGGATCCACATGCAGGCCCAGGAGAGCATCACATCCTGTGACCACTCCCACTGGAAGACTCTTTTTGGTAATATCATGCTGTCTGGAGGCACCGGTGCCTGCACAGGTCTACAATTCCGACTGCAGAGAGAGATAGCAAGGCTGGTCTCTCCAGACGTCTGTGTGCAGGTATTGGCCCGAGCCTCACCAGGGGCCTCAGGGCCGACCCATGCATAGTTGTAGAGTGGCTTGAGGCTCCAGGCTTTGTTCTTTCCATTTGAGGATGCACCAAGAGCAAAAGTGGCAGAAGCCCCTGGCATTTACATCTTGTGTGTGGTGCGGGGGTGGGGAGGCGGTGATAAAAAGTTAAGCTAGTGCCACAGGAGTGGTAGATGGGAAGGGGCTGAAGTGTGCTGGGTGGACAGTGGCTGGACTGGGGTGCTGAACACAGAGAACATCTGCTCAGAAGGTGGCATCAGAGTGAATACTCCAGAGGGGATAGTGGATTATGGGGGGCAGAAAGAGCATGTAGGCGCCTTTTGTGTTTTATATGAAGTCATGTGTGTATGCATGAGGACACAGAGGCCTTGTCCAGCTTTATACATTGGTTCTGAAGATCTGAACTCAGGTCCTCACACCTGAGCCCATCTCCCCAGTCTTCTTCTGGAACAGATCTCACTATGTAGATGAGCTTGTGTAGACCAGCCTGTTCTAGATCCTCCTGCCTCTGCCACCCGAGTGCTGGGATCACAAGTATGTGCCACCAAATCTCCCAATTAAAAAGTTATCTTCTCCACTGGGGAGAGATGTCTGTCCGCAAAGGTGTGGACACTTTGGGTCTCCACTCAGAGCAGTTAATTTTTTTCAATGAATATCTTTTTTAAAAGGTTTTTATTTTATTGTATAAGTGTCTGCCTGCATGTACATATGTGTACGATGTGTGTGCAGCACCCATGGAGGCCAGGAAAGGGTGTAGTATCCCTGAAACTGGAGTTACAACTGTAAGTTGCCAGGTGGGTGCTGGGAACTGAACCAGGTTCTTTGGAAGAGCAACAGATGGTTTTAACCACTCAGCCACTGTTCTAGCCCCCAAAGGAATATTTTCTACTTATGTACTTTATGTAAACGAGTGTTTTGTCTGCATGTGCCTGTGCATATCAGAAGAAGGCGTCAGATCCCATGGGACTACAGTTACAGATGGTTGTGAGCCACCATGTAGGTGCTGGGAATTGAACTCAAAACCTCTGGAAGAGCAGCCAGTGCTCTTAACCACTGAGTCATTCCCTCCAGCCCTTCTCTCCCTGGAATACAAAGATTTTAATTGCATTATTTGTCTCTTTGTGTCTGTATGTGTGTGTACATCACAGAGTGTGTGTTGTGGTCAGAGGATAATTAGTGGAAGTCATTTTATTCTTCTAGTATGTGGGTCCCAGGATTTGAACCAAGGCACAGGCTTGGTGGGGTGGGTCTTTTTCCACCGAACCATCTCACTAGTCCCAAGAACAGTTTTTTAAAGTCCTCATTTATTTTGTGTGCATGTGTGTGCATGTGTGCATGTGTGCATGTGTGTGTGCATGTGCATGCATGTGTGTGCATGTGTATGTGCATGTGTGCATGTGGTTGTGAATGTGTATATGCATGTGTGCACATGTGTGTGTGCATGTGTGCATGTGTGTGCATGTGTGCATGCGTGCATATGTGTGCATGTGTGTGTGCATGTGTGCATGTGTGTGCATGTGCATCTGCATCTACATGTGTGTGCATGTGTGTGTGCATGTGTGCATGTGTGTGCATGTGTGCATGCATGTGTGCGTGTGCATGTGCATCTGCCTGTGTGTGCATGTGCATGCATGTGTGTGCATGTGTGTGCATGTGTGCATGTGCATGTGTGTGTGCCTGTGTGTGTATGTGTATGTGCATGTATGCATGTGTGTGCATGTGTATGTGCATGTATGCATGTGTGTGCATGTGTGTGTACACACATGCTACAGCACATTGGTGGAGGTCAGAGGCCCACTTGAGGGATTCAGCTTTCTCTTTCTGCTGTGTGGGTCTTAGGGTTTGAATGAAATTCGCAGCCTTGGGGCAGGTGTTTTACTGAATAGCCTTCTCATTAGTCCAGAGTAGTGTTTGATGTGAGTTTCCTTCTCCTCACTCTAGGTGGCCACCTCTCCATATGCCAAGTATGGTGCCTGGGTAGGTGCCTCCATCTTGTGCTCTCTCCCTTTGTTCAAGAACATGTGGGTCACAAGTCATGAATATAGGGAAATTGGCTCTTCCGTCACGTGTAGAAGAAACTTGTGACCGGTGGCTTTCAGGTTCTGTCACCTAGGCCAGCAGTACCATGTCTAGACTGAGCCTCAGCCTTACCAAGCAGGTCATTGTTAGAACAAGCAAGGCCCCCTTTCTCCTGGAAGACAGTAAAAGTGTGCAACAGGGCTGACTCTGTCTGGTATCTTGGTGACCTCTGTAGCATCCCAATGCAGCAGGTACCGGTTCCTCCTGTGCATTGATCAGGATAACTCAGTGATGCTGCATAACAAGCATCCCTAGCTCCCACTGCCACAAAGTGAGGTTTGCCTATCACCCTCCTGCCTACATCCTGAAGTAAGGACCATCACCCTCACTTAGGACCTTCTGGTAAAGCAGATACCAGTTTTAGCATATTCACTCGTTGTGAGTTTCTTATTTTCTGTTGCTATAACAAAATACCCGATACCTGGTAATTTATAAAGAACAGGGGTTTATTTAGCTCACAGTTTCAGAATATGACACCAGCCTATGCAAGGGTCTTGTACCTCATTAAAACAGTGCAGAACATTGTGGACCATTAATGTTGTCAAGAGGTCCCATCCTTAGGACTTCATTTAACCCCAGTCACCTTCCAAAGCCTCCAAATACCATTAACATATAGATTTGGGACATCTAAACACCAGTGGCTGAACTTAGGAGTCATCTGCAGGGTCTCACTGGCAATCAAGAGACATGGGGGGGGGTGTACAAGTCACACAAAGCCCCACCCCAACCCCAAGAGGACAGAAAGGACTGGAGTTAAATGTCACAGGGGCTGGGAGGGTACTAACAGCATACACTATGCAAGGGGCCTCAACCCTTCAGGGGATGTGGTCCTCATGGGGCGGCTGCTGTGACCTGTTTCATCAAGTCCAACTGTAGATGCAGGAACAGCAGCCAAGGTAGGTTGGATTAAGGCTGTAAAGGCATATAAGTAATCCTAGTCAATTGGCAAGCAGCCTTGCAAACTAATATAAATGTGTGTTATTTGGGGCCCTAATGCAGCGGGCAGAACTCGGACGGCTGGTGGAAAGCGCTCACATGGCGGCAGGGCTCGGGCAGCTTGGAGTATAGACTTGTTACAGAATGGTGTCAGCGAGTGGGATCACCCCATGCCCTGAAGTTCCCAGAGGAAGTGGTGAACCTGCTGCTGCATCCCACCCTGTCGAGCAGCTTCCATATGTGCCGGGCTGCGTTCTTGGGGTTTGGACTCGGCACTCCCGAGATGGCCTGCAGCTCTTGAGAGTTCTAGGGTTAGGTAGGATTCTGCGCTCTCACCGCTGCGTTTTGAGCCACCACGTGCCAAGAGCCACCTTCCCGAGACTAGTCAGGCAGCCGCAGAACCTGGGAAGCTGGCAGTAGTGTTACAAACTTCCATGTAAACTTCACAAAAGCTTAAAAAGGGATTTTAGCAGCAAAAGAACAGAGACAAGCATGACTTCTTGATAGCAGCATTTTCTCAGGTGGTCTCTGTTTTGCTAGAGACAAGCAGAGACTTGGTTCCTTTAAGAGAGATTTCCTGACTCAGCCTAAACAGAAAAAAAATGCAGGGCTCTTTTAAAAAGCCTGCTAGCTCAGTCGGTAGAGCGTGAGACTCAATCTCAGAGTCGTGGGTTCATGCCCTACACAGCTGGCATTGCAGCTCTCAGAGCTGATGGTAAATGTACCTCCACCATTTTGGAAATCAGCGGCTAAGAAAGCCACCACTTTAATTTTGGCGGTGTTGTTTAACAAAAGACTGTGTGGCCAGAAAGAGGTAAAGATTCACAATAAAAACAGATGAAGCCGGGCGTTGGTGGCGCACCCCTGTAATTCCGGCACTCAGGAGGCAGAAGCAGGCAGATCTCTGTGAATTCAAGGCCAGCTTGGTCTCCAGAGTGAGTGCCAGGATAGGCTCCAAAGCTACTCCGAGAAACCCTGTCTGGAAAAAAAAAAAAAAAAAAAAAAAGTAGGCTTGTGAGAAAAAAATACAGGAGGAAATAGAGTATCTGGGTGTGGTGGCACACGCCTTTAATCCCAGCACTCGGGAGGCAGAGGCAAGCAGATCTCTGTGACTTCCTTCAAGGCCAGCCTGGTGTACAGAGTGAATTCAAGAGCAGTCAAAGTTATACAGAGAAACCTGTCTCATAAAAGGAAAACATAAAAGTAAAAGGAATAGAATATAAAAAAGCCACATAAAGATGGAAAACACACAGAGAGTCTGGATACTTTATGCTATATTGTTGTCTTTAAATTGTTTGATTGCCAAGGAAAGAGCTACAGCTGCTACAATATGTTTGATTATAAATGCTGCTGAATTAATCCAACTTATACGTTTTAAAAATGCTTTGACTTCAAAATTTAAATCTCAGAACAGGCTACTTGGGAAAAGATTTCTTTCTTGTGTTTTCACAGAAAATGAAAAGCTGTGGACTCCTTCCAGACTAATATGGTTTGATCAAGCAAGACCCCCTGAAGCAGTGGCCCAACTGATCCTACATCCAAAACAGCTGAGATGATGCAGCCATAAAGGCCAGATTTCTGTGTTTTATCATGATCCCCAAAGTATGGATATCGCCCCCAACCAGCAGGAAGCAGTTTGGACTAAATGATGCCCAAATTCCCAAATATTGTTTATAAATGTTTGTTTTCATTTAAATGGGGTTGGTTATAAATGGTAATGATCACAGTCAATCTCTTTTTAAAGGAAAAAAAAGGGGAGATGAATACTTTACATTGGTATGGATTTTTGTTTTTGATGCAAATTTAAGGTCAATTTTGTGATATGTGTAAGTAAATACAGATTATATAGTCACCTATAATAGTCAAACCTACAGTTAGGTTAGTTAGGTTTTCTAGATATACAGAGATATATTTGAGATGGATAGATATTCTTCAAACCTTTCAAAGACCTACAGAAATATGGCATTTAAATGGTTTAGGGTTTTCATGACAGTGAAGCACAACTGCTCCTGGCACACCAATTATGTCAGACAGGAGGATGGGCATCGAAGAAACTCATGGATTTTGCCTTCAATATGGCAAGATTAACCATTTGGGCAAGAAACTGCTCTTGTCTGGACTGTTTGTTGCTGTATAAACTGGACATGCAGGACCCACAAGAAAGTGACTGCTAAACTTACAAAACAAGATGAACAGTCCTGAAGGGTTCCTGATGAAATGGAGAAGTGTGCCAGACACACAGTTGCCTATGGGCTGAAGATGGATGCCCCAACGTTACAGAGGAACTTTGGGTGACTGTCTAGGTATCAAGATGTCTCTGTCAATTCTAGAGTTTATATATTATCCTTCTGTGGTCTTTGATGGAGTTGAAGTCAGATGGTTATGGTTATAGTTCTTTTCAGTTATTATAAAAGATAAGTTACCCTTTTTATTTAGACAGGAAAGAAGAGATGATGGGGAATGTCCTTCTCTGTATATGTTCATCTTATTGATTGTTGAATAAAGTACTGTTGGCCAATGAAGAAGCAGGTTAGGCAGGAATAGGAGTCAAGGGGCATTCTGAGAAATGTAGTAAAAGGAAGTCTTGTGATAGAGGCAGGAAGTGACATAGCAGGCAGACGCATATAGAAGCAAGGGCAAGAAGGAAATTGTTGCTTTTTCTCTTCCTTTTGCTCTCTGCTCTGGAGCTGCCATGTGATCCCGGCAAGAGAAGATGCCAGCAGCTGTCGTCTGATAAGTCTTTATGGTTGATACTTAACACTGAGCTAGCATATAAGTAATCCTAGTCAATTGGCCAAGCAGCATTGTAAACTAATATAAATCTCTGTGTGTTATTTGGGACCCTAACACAGAGGGCAGAACTCGGGCAGCTTGGAGTAAAGACTTATTGTTACAATAAAGGTCAACGTGAGGACTTGAAATGAGTGAGTGGGAGCACTGGGGACTGAAAATAAAATGTAAGCGGATCCATACAAGGAAGCCAACCCCAGGCTGTAAGACATGAATCATTCTGGTCCAGTTTCAGTGTGAGATGTGCTCAGAGCTTACTAGAGAATCACAGATAAGCAAGAGGCACTAGGACCTTTTCCTCCCTAGCTGGAAGTTGTCATCTACTTGTCTAGGCTCTCAGTTCATCCTAGGATTAAAAAGTCACAGACAGTCTGCTATGTGACTGAATCCACGGAACAAAAGGGGGGACTCTTGAGCCCCAGGACTTGCATTAGACAAGGCTTTGTGTACTGAACTAACAGGATGGGGACACTGGGAAGATTGTGCCTCCCTGAAGAACTCAGCTGGTGAGGAATGTAGGGTGCAGAGAAGTGAGATTAGAAGTTTTAAGACATGTATTTTGTGCTATCAGCAGTACACCAGCTGTTTCTACCTTTTCTCTTAGCTGAAGGCCAACTCTGCAAGGTTAAAAAAATAAACTGCTCCAACCCTGCACCTTGTTTCTCATGTGGGTAGGGAAAGATGCCCCCCTTCTTCCTCGCACCTCACTGTCTTCGACAGATGAGAGAGCTGATCCTTAGTAGCTGCAGCATTCAGGAAACAGGCCCTGTTCCTCACCTGGGCAGCACAGTAGAGCTGACCTTGTTGGCAGAGGATTGGGTGAGATAGCCCTGAGGGTGTGAAAGTGGGATAGCTGGCCTGCCATGTGGTGGTGAGGGTGAAGGAAAGATGCCCTCCCCGCCTTACCCCTGCCACCTGTGGCAGATTAAGGAGCTGACCTGCTCCCCTTACCAGCTGCAGCACTCAGGAAAGTGGGCCCTGCACCTTGCCTGGGCAGCACAATAAAGCCAGAGCCATTCCTGTTGGTGGAGGTGTCAGTAAGCCAGCATCAGAGTCATGAGCAGGAAGAGCTGCCCCCCATTACTTATCTGTCATGTGACAGCATGAGCTGCCCCTCCCCCCAATCAATGCCTGAGGCAGGTGGGAAAGCTGGCCCTGAGGTCATAAGAGTGGGAGAGCTGCCCGTGTTCCCCATCAGCTGCAGCAGGCCCCTGCACCTTGCCTGGGCAACACAGTAGAGCTGGCCCTGAAGGTGTAGGTGTGGGAGAACTGACCCTGCTCCTTGCTCCTTGCTGCAAAGGGTGAACTAGCAGGAGCTCACCATGGTGGTGAGGACAAGGGAGAGCTGGTGGTCTAACCAGCTCTGCAACTGCCCAGGCTCAGAATCAGGGTTATGAGTTGGCCACCCCAAGATTCACTCCATCTGCGATCTGCTGGAGCATGTGGAGGAGCCGGCCCTGCAGTCCCAAAGCTGCAGGATGTCCATGGCACAGGGAAACAACAGGATAGCCAAGAGGAGTCCCAGTGAGGGCCCAGCATTGACAGCATAGCAGAAGCCAGAAGCCTGCAACAGACAATGACTCTTTGCAGTGAACACTTGCAAGTAAAGATATATGGATAAAAGGGGTTACTGCGTGACTCACTCTGTCACACTACAGCATCCATGGCGAGATTAATTTTCCTTTTCTTTTTTCTCTTAAATTTTATTTTATGGGGGGAGTGCAAGGGCAGAGAGAGGGCAGATACGAAGGGACCGGAAATGAATGGGCTGGAGATGCATGATGTATAAGACACAAAGAATAACTAAATAGAAAGTTAAAATATTAAACTGCTCCACTTTCACTCTGAGTCCCTGAGACTCTTACTGTGAAGTGATCCACTGTGAGATCTGAGAGCAGGGAACACAAAGTGGTTACTAGGACATAGAAGCAGCTCTAAAACAGGGGCCAAGAGAGTGGCTTCCCAGAGCATGGCTGAGTTTACCTAAGGCTTCTGTGCTGTGTTGTGAGACCCTGGGGCCAAGGGAGGCTTGGCACCATTGCAGCTCCTGCACAGTGGGCGATGCCATTTGAGACTGCAGGGACTTTTAAGGCAGACTCATGAACAGTCTGATGGCTTGGAGAATCAGACTTGAAGAGATGGCCACTGGTCTGTCTGTGCTTCGTGATT